AAAAGAAAATCGCTTCCAGCTCACATTCTGATTCCGATATAAAGGTAGCACAGGAAAGACAATGGAAATAATGACCAGGCAGGACCCTGAAAAACAAAGATCTGTGGGTACAGACTGTGTGGGGATAGGCTGCCTGTACCGAAAGACAAGCCTCGGCTGCATGCACAGTTTAGGAGTTCACTGATTTGCCCAGGCCTGGGTGGAGGATGGGCTCCAGAATGCAAGTCATGTTAACTTGCACAGTGGTGGGTAGAAAGAGCATTGATCTTAAAGTGAGAGGTCTGGGTTCTACCCCAATCTCTAGGAAGGCGCTGGGGACCTTTTTTCTAGGCTAGATCAGTGTTTCCACCAACGGTTCCTATTTTGTGCCCCAAAATGTCGTGTTCCCTTCACATGTGGAGTAGCATCTTCTATGGTGAGCTGGCTTCAAAAGATAAATATAAGGCAAAATAATTGCTCATGTAAAACTTTTCCTTTAAAACTTCTTAAATTACTTACAAATACAGAACTACACTCTATTATGAGAGGCGTTGGTAAGAGCTGAAACCCGCTGAGGGGAAGCAGTCACATCCACCAGTCCCTGCTCAGCCTGGGCAGCCATCCCTTCATGGAGCCAAATCACCAACTCTATTAAAAGATTGTGGGTTTAATTTTTGTTTTGCTGTTTGTGAGAATTTCTTTTTTCTTTTTCTTTGTTTTGCTAAACCCAAAGAGTCATGTTTGCATAGGTTCAATATGCATATAATGCAACTCAATCCTAAATATGTTTTAAAATATATGTTGATTTTTTAAAATATATTATGGGTCCAGATGCAGTGGCTCATTCCTACAATCCCAGCACTTTGGGAGGCTGAGGTGGGAGGATTGCTTGAGACCAGGAGCTGGAGAACAGCCTGGACAATATAGTGAGACCCCCATTTCTACAAAAATAAAAATAAAAATTAGCTGCACACGGTGGTGCACACCTGTAATCCCAGGTACTCAGGAAGCTGTGGCGGAAGGATTGCTTGAGCCCAGGAGTTCAAGATTGCAGTGAACTATGATTGTGCCATTGCACTTCAGCCTGGGCTACAGAGCCAGACCCCATCTTAAGAAAAAATAAATTATGGTAAATGTGACTGGAAACTCAGGGAAGTTTTTCTATGAATTTGTGTTTTATTTATTGCAACAGCATTCATGCACATTTACAAAAGAAAGAAAAAATATACATGTGTGGTGAGATATGTTAATTATCCAGGCATAGATGATGCTACATGAAGAGGGATTAGCTGGCCTCTGGCAGTGTAGCTGACGTGGTCAAGCAGGAGCCAAATGAATAAAATGGTCCAAATAATACACAGCTTAAAACCTTGATGCATCTATGCTCTCAAGTCCATGCCCACTGCAACTCCACGTTCATACTTTGCCTTTCAACTCACATTTCAAAAAAACTAATTTTGAGCAAGGGAGATTGAAATTATTTTTATTTAGCCCCTTGATTTTAATTACACTTTATTTGTTACCTTGTCATTTTTAGGGTGCTCATGTGCACTATTACCTGTGAGTCTCAAAACACTCCTGGGAGGTAGTCAAAATGAGTGCGTCGCCCATTTGTCAGATTCAGAAACTAAGTCTCCAAAATCCAAGGGTCTCATCTGAGATCAGACAAGCTAAATAATGTTAGAATTGGAACCAGAATCCAACTCTTCAGATTTAAAGTCTGTGTAGATGCAAATAATTCTTTTTGACTTAAAAACTTTAAATATTACTTTGCTTACCTGGAAGGGTTTAATTTTTGTCTAAAACAGAAGAATGTTCTACATGACCAGTGAACTTCCCTTCCAGTCCTAGAATAAGTATTTGAATGATCTACCTGGAGTTCTAGATGGGTGCTGTGCACTGGACCATGTTCGTCTGCCCCCCTCTGGTGGCCATTACACAAATAACAGATCCTAGAACAACTCCTAGGGCAATGGTTGCTTTCCCTTTCATCAATCCTTCATTCATGCAAACAGCACCTAATATGTGTCAGGCTCTGTGTGAGGACATACACAAAGAAGCAAGATAGAGCACTGCCCTCAAGGGTGGTAGACAAGCAAGTGAACAGATGATTGGAAAACAGTGAGACAAGCATCATGCAGAGTATGCAGACAATGCTGACAGTGTACAAATGATGTCTGGACTGGCCTTGTGGGGGAAGGGCAGATATTACATAGGATGGGCAGGCAGTACCCAGGCTGAATTCTGAAGGAGAGATAGGAGTCAGGGATGGAAGGAAACATCAAGAAGTCAGGGAACTGCCACAATGCCAGTTCAAGATGGTGGAATTCACAGCACAGGTTTCAAGGGGGCAGAGCAAGAAGTGGGGTCAGAGACATTGGTTGGGCCAGATTAGAAAAGGCTTTTTATGTCACAGTAGCATTTGAGCTGGTAGCCTAGTGTCCCCAAATTTTTTTAATCATGTTCCTCATCAAAAAAAAATCTGTAGATGCATGCCTAATTTGTGGGTATTTATTCCTTTATACATCTTATACCCAGGCAGTGTGGCAAAATGGTTAATTCATGGGCTCTAGAGCTAGACTGTCTAGATCCAAATTCTTCTCTAAGAAGAACTTAGGACAATGCCTGGCACATGTAAGTCTTCTATATTAGCTAGTATTATTGCAGAATTATCCTATTTGGTGCCATTATAAAGGTTGGGTTGGGAATTACACCATGTAATGGCTTCATCTACTCCCAGAAAGTCTATTTTATTATAAACATACCTCAAAATATCAAGAATTACTCTAGTCTTCAAAATCTCAACCAGAAGAGCAGACCACTCTCAACCCTATCACCTACCCACCCACCAAAGAGCAAAGTAGCTCTGTCATCTCCTGCTTGTACTCATGGCAAAACTCATCCACACCGAGGATTCCTCCATTTAACTCAAAGCAGTAAGGTAAGGGTGGGACTTGAGACTCTGCATTCCCAATAAGCTCTCAGGTGATCCCGATGCTGCCAGCCCAAATTCCACACTTTGGAATTTTAAAAGGAAAATATAAATATCTAATAAACTGTTTTTCAGAACAGGCTTTAAAACAGACACTGAGAAATACAAGATGAAGGCAGGGAGGGCAAGGGTTGAAAAATATCCTACTGGGTACTATGCACACTACCTGGGTGACAGGTTCAGTCGTACTCCAAACCTCAGCATCATGCAAGATACCTCTGTAACCAACCTGCAAATGAGCCCCATGAACCTATCCTAAAAATGTCTTAATGTTCATTTTAATTATTAGGGCACAGCATATTTGTGTTCTCACTTTTTTAAAAATGTGTTTTAGCAAAGGTAAATATGCATGTTTTTAAAATAATCTTCATTTAACACCGTGATGTTGCTGTGTGCAGTTCTAGGTCTAAATTCAGATTATTCCAGTACTTGGTTTTGAAATAACTGAAAAGGGGCTTCACTGATATGCATAGATAGCAAATGAAAGAAGTACTTCATGGCCTATGCCTACAAATAGTGAAAAACATTTTCAGCCTCATTCACCAATTTTGCAAAGGTCTTTGTTAAAATTCAGCTAATAATTTCCATTTTTCCTGATGTCAATCAGTTGTTCTTACAAAATAATTAGAAGCTTTTATCTTTTCACATTACTAACAAACTAGTTTATTTTAGAAGATTTTTTATAAGGTTAGCATATCCTGTTTCCAAGTTTTTAAAGTAAACAGAAATGTTAGTTTTTATAGATAGCTTGCTTATGTCATTTTCAGCCTCAAAATCATATAACTCCGGAGACACTTTGACTCTCCATTTTCAGTATATTCTCCCCAAAGCATGAGTTTATTTTAAAAGGTTGTTGTTCTTGCTATTACAACATACCCTTTGCCTTGAAAAGACAAGTGTATTTATTTTTTCCAGATATCTTTTGGGTACATTTTACTGACAGCACTTTCATCACAAAAAAGGTCAGCAAACCTGGAACACTTTCTATTTATAAAAGAAGCATTCATGACATGTTTAAGTTTGATAACTCTTTTAAATCCTTTGCCATAGGAAACCCTTTTTGCCTCATCTAGTATTAATTGTGAGACAAGCTAGATTTCTCATCCTCATTTATTCTACTTCTAACTAGGGAGCTTTCCTCCCCATTTTTTTTCTGAAAAATACACACATATACACCACACACACATGCACACAAACACATAGCACCACCCCCACATATATACATACACACATACAGTTGAAATACATATCACTTCTGCTAGCATAATTTTAATCCAGCAGTGTGCTGTTACATTAACAATCAACTCTCTGAAAAGAAGAAAAGGCCTTGATTTGTAGCATTTGCCAACTTCTGTGGTCAAAATATTCCCACCATGGTCAATTGCAAGCTACTAACATGATGTCACTGATCCAGAGTTGAGGAGATGTACACAGCAGCACACCATGATATTATATAACATGCCCTTGATGCAGATATAATAGATGTAAATGACCTCAAGCGTACATAATAGAAAAATGTAATAAAATAATTAGGAAGTGATTAGAAGTTTTAAGAATGTATTACTTGTGTTTTTAAGATAATTGTGAATTGATGTAATTTGATTTTTAATAACTATGTTTATCAATCAGCTCATAAAAATCCTAAAAATGTAGTAATATATTCTCATGACCCAGCTGAGCCAACTACATATGTCACTTTGACCTTATTTTGCTAAAATAGCAGTCATGTGTGTCTGCATATGTCAGAGAGCATTACAAACAATGCTTACTTCTGAAGAAAATATTTTTAGACACACTTTTTAATGACTTTTTTTTAATATAATGAGTTTTTGAGATAAAATGCTTTTCTTAAAAGAATAAGTCAGTCAAGCTCTGACAAACATGTTGATAATTTGTTTGAAATTTACCAGATATTTGTACATTTTCAGAACAATCAGTAGCTTTTTAATACTGACTTCCAAGCTACAAATGAGCATATCTTTCCATGTATTCACGTTTTCTCTTTATCTCTCAATGAAGTTTTATGCTGGTCCTTTTTAAATATATTGCTAGATAATACATAATTCTGGTTGCCATGGTAAATAGAACGTATTTTTCCCAGATATTTCCAGATTGTGTGTTTATCTTATATATAAATGTTATTGCTGTTTTGTTTTGTTTTGTTTTGTTTTGTGACAGAGTCTCGCTCTGTTGCCCAGGCTGGAGTGCCGTGGCGTGATCTTGGCTCACTGCAACTTCCACCCCCCAGGTTCAAGGAATTCTCCTGCCTCAGCCTCCTGAGTAGCTGGGATTATCGGTGCATGCTACCACGCCCAGCTAATTTTTGTATGTTTAGTAGAGACAGGGTGTCGCCATGTTGGTCAGGCTGGTCTCGAACTCCTGACCTCATGATCCACCTGCCTTGGCCTCCCAAAGGGCTAGGATTACAGGCATGAGCCACCACACCTGGCCTATTGCTTTAAAAAATATATTATATGTTAACAACTTACTGGAAGATATTCTTTGGCTTTTATAGTGTGTCACAGGGCTAGAGAGACTCAAGCAGCTCCAGAGTCAGATGGCTCAGGTTGGATCCTGGCTCCACACCTCACCAGTCACTGCCTTCTTCACCTTTCTGGAACTTAATTTCCTTTTCTATAAAATAGAAACAATAATAAATGGACCTCACAGGATTCTTGTGAGGGTGAATGAGATCATGCCTATGACGCACTTAGCAGAGAGCCTGGGAGGCAGGAAACATTGGCATATACAAGTAATTTTCTATTGTTGAGCCTCCTGGGTTTTCATGTAGATTATCACATCTGTAAATGTTATAATCCTTCTTAACAACATAGATCTCTCCTTTCTCTCTCTCTTTCTCTCTCTCTCAGCCAAGATTAGTGGGTTCTTTTTCTTTTCCTGTTGAACTGAAGTGGCCAAAATTTGGAACTGTGTTAAATAATAATCATGTTATTGACTCCCAAGCCTTATGCCTGTCACTTTATTAGATAATGCTTTACCTTTTCCCTGTGAAGCATGATGACCATCATCATTTTAAGAAAGATATTCCTGATACTATTTGCTTTAAAAGTTTTTTTATCTTCCTTATTTACTAAGATTTTTTTCAAGGAATAAGTAGAAGGTAGAAAATTTTCCAGAATCCATCAAGTGTGAGTTTTTTTCTTTTGACTATTGATGGGATGAATTATTATAAAATGCTTTACATGGTTCTTTACCATTTAGTTACACAAATATTACTTGAGCATATCCTACTTGTAAAAATGTTAAACAACACAGAAATAGATAGAAAAGATAAAAGTTCTAGAGCTAAGATGGTCAACTAGATGCAGCCAAGAAGAGCATCTCCGACTGAGAGACCAGACTGTCAGGAAACTGGCCCACTCAGTTAAGTAGGTGAGGAGTGGCCCACTCTTACCATGGACCTCTAGAATCCTAACTGCAGGAGATCCCACCATGCCCACAGACATTTGAACTGGCAGAGAGAGCTGGTTGGAGAGGTGGCAGGGATGGAACTCCTGCCTAGGTGGAGCCCGGAGAATTTGGCATGGGAACAGCTGCAGTGGAGTATCGCCAGGGATGACCCAATGCTCGCCATATTCCTCTAAGTGGGCTCTGCCCTTTATTGGCTGTTGGACCTGGGAAGAGTAGGGCTATCTTGCCCATAGGACTGGGCCAGTCTGGTCTGAGCACCTCCCTGTCTACTGGCCTGTCCTGGGATCCCTACCTGGCCATGCCTACTTGTAGCATCGCCTTGGTTGCCCAACCTGTGCACTTCCTGGCAGCCACCGCCATAGCTCCTTCATCAGCAGATTCTGACTAACCACTGGAGAACATCTCCTCTGACAGGTGCCCACCAGCACGCACTTGCCCACAGCCTCCCCTCACCACTTTGCTGATGAGCACTTGTCCACAGCATCCTGCCACTGCTTTTCCAGTATGCATGTGCATGTGGAACTCGCCACTGCTGGCCCACCACCACTGGCATACCTGTGTGTGAACCCTGCCACACTGCCACCACCACTGCATGTGCAGACATGTGGACCCCACCACACTGTCACCCCACCACCACCAGTATGCACACATGCACAGACCCCAATGCACTGCTGCTACTGGTGTGTGCACATGCAAGCACAGATCCCACTGTTACTGTCCCAGCAAAGTGCTTTTGCTGGTGTTCCAAATCAGTGTTGTTGCCAATAGACCAAGAATATCTCAGTCCCTCCAGTGTAGTAGGTTTATAAGCCCAAGGGGCCAGAGAATAAAGTGATGGGCCTGGACCTAGTCCCCAAGGGTAAGAGCATACAGCTCAGGAGTGCTGAGCTGAGTCTTAGCCCCCTAAAATCATCTAGAAATGAAACCAGCTGACTGAACCCAACTTATATCACAGTCAAACCCTCAAGGGCATCAAATAATATAAAAGCAAAAAGCCCCATCCAAAGGACAGGCAGTGGAAAACAGAAAAAACAAGGGTTGCGGCCGGGCGCGGTGGCTCAAGCCTGTAATCCCAGCACTTTGGGAGGCCGAGGCGGGTGGATCACAAGGTCAAGAGATCGAGACCATCCTGGTCAACATGGTGAAACCCCGTCTCTACTAAAAATACAAAAAATTAGCTGGGCATGGTGGCGCGTGCCTGTAATCCCAGCTACTCAGGAGGCTGAGGCAGGAGAATTGCCTGAACCCGGGAGGCGGAGGTTGCGGTGAGCCGAGATCGTGCCATTGCACTCCAGCCTGGGTAACAAGAGCGAAACTCCGTCTCAAAAAAAAAAAAAAAAAAAAAAAAAAAAACAAAAAAACAAGGGTTGCTATTCTAATTTCAGACAAAACAGACTTTAAGCCAACAATTAGCAAAAAAGACAAAGAAGGGCATTGCATGATGGTAAAGTGTTCAATTCAATAAGAAGACCTAACTATCCTAAATATATATGCACCCAACACAGGAGCACCCAGATTCATAAAGGAAGTTCTTAGAGACCTATGAAGAGACTTAGATTAACCACACAATAATAGTGAAAGACTTCAACACCTCACTGATGGTATTAGACAAATCATTGAGGTAAGAAACTAGCAGATATATTTGGGGCCTGAACTTAAGGTTTGACCAAATAGGCCTAACAGACAACTACAGAACGCTCCACCCCAAAACAACAGGATATACATTATTTTCAAGTGCACACAGCACGTACTCCAAAACTGACTGCACAATCAGCCATACAACAATCTTCATACCAAACACACTCCTGAACCACAGTGCAGTAAAAACAGAAACCAGTCCTAAGATCTCTTAAAACCACACAATTACATGGAAATTAAACAACCTGTTCCTCAATGAGTTTTGCGAAAACAATTAAAAAAAAAAAAAGGTAGAAATAAATTCTTTGAAATTAATGAAAACAAAGTTACAACACATCAGAATCGCTGGGCCATAGCTAAAACAGTGTTAACAGGAAAGTTTATAGCACTGAACACCGACACCAAAAAGTTAGAAAGATCTCAAATTAACAACCTAACACCATAGCCAGAGGAACTAAAAAAACATGAGCAAACAAATCCCAAAGCTAACAGAAACAAGGAAATAACCAAAATCAGAAATGAACAAATAAAATTGATATGTGAAAAATCACACAAAAGATTAATCAAACCAAAAGTTGGTTTTTGAAAGAACAGACCACTAGCTAAACTAATAAAGAAAAAAAGAGAAGATCCAAATAAACACAATAAGAAATGAGAAAGAAAACATTACCATCAATCCCACAGAAATACAAAAAAAAAAAAAAACCCCTCAGACTATTATGAATATCTCTATGCACATAAACTAGAAAATCTAGAATAAATAAATATACAGTCTCCCCAAGTTAAACCAGGAAGAAGTGAAACCATGAATAGACAAATAATGAGTTCTAATATTGAATCAGTTATAAAAAGCCTACCAAACAGAAAAAGCCCTGGACCAGATGGATTGGCAGCCAAATTCTACCAGATGTATAAAGAACTGGTGCCAATCCTACTGAAACTATTTCCCAAAAAATCAAGGAGGATGGACTCCTCCCTAACTCATTCTATGAGGCCAGCATCATTCTGATATTAAAACCTGGCAGAGACACAATGAAAAAAGAAAAGTATAGGTGAATGTTTTTGATGAACATAGATGCAGAAATCCTTTACAAAATATTAGCAAGCCAAATCCAGTAGCACATCAAAAAGCTAATCCACTACAATCAAATAGGCTTTATTCCTGGGATACAAGGTTGGTTCAACATATGCAAATCAATAAATGTGACTCATCACATAAACTGAACTAAAAACAAAAATCACATGATATCTCAATAGATGCAGAAAAGACTTTCAATAAAATTCTGCAGCCCTTAAGCTTTTAAAAACCTTTAACAAACTAGGCATCAAGAACATATTGCAATATAATAAGAACCATCCATGAGAAATTTACAGTCAACATCATACTGAATAGATAAAAGCTGGAAGCATTCCCCTTGAGAACTGGAACAAGACAAAAATGCCTTCTTTCACCACTCCTATTTAACATAGTATTGGAAGTCCTAGTTACAGCAATGAGGCAAGAGAGAGAAATAAAACACATCCAAATAGAAAAAGAGAAAGTGAAACTACCTGTCTTCAAAGATGATACAATTTTATACCTAGAAAATCCCACAGTCTCTGCCCAAAGGCTCCTAGATCTGATAAACAGCTTCAGCAAAGTTTCAGGATATAAAATCTATGTACAAAAATCAGTAGTGTTTCTACACACCAATAACATCCAAGCTGAGACCCAAATCAAGAATGCAGTATCATTCACAATAGTTGCAAAAGAATAAAATACCTAGGAATATAGCTAACCAGGGAGGTGAAAGATCTCTACCGTGAGAACTACGAAACACAACTGAAAGAAATCACAGATGACACAAACAAGTGGAAAGACATTCCCTGCTCATGGATAGGAAGAATCAATATTGTTAAAATGGCCATACTGCCCAAAGTAATTTACAGATTTAATGCTATTCTATCAAACTACCAACAACATTTTACACAGAATTAGAAAAAAAAAAAGTTCTAAAATTCTTATGGAACCAAAAATAGCCTGAATAACCAAAGTAATCCTAAGCAAAAAAAAAAAAAAAAAAAAGCTAGAGGTATCACACTACCCAACTTCAGACTATACTACAAAGCTACAGTAACCAAAACAGCATGTTACTGGTACAAAACCAGACACAAAGACCAATGGAACAGAATAGAGAACCCAGAAATAAAGCTGCACACCTACAATTATCTGATCTTTGACAAAGTCAACAAAAGCAACGTGGAAAAGACTCCCTTTTCAATAAATAGTGCTGGGATAGCAAGCTATCCATAAGCAGAAGATAAAAACCGGATCCCTACCATTCATCATATACAAAAATCAACTGAAGGTGGATTAAAGACTTAAATGTAAAACCTAAAACTGTAAAACTTCTAGAAGAAAACTTAAGAAATACTCTTCTAGACATTGACTTACATCTAAAAATAACAGACACTGGTATATTGCAGAGAAAATGCTTATACACTGTTGGTGGAAATATAAATTAGTTCAGCCCCTATGGAAAGCAGTTTGGAGATCTCTCAAAGAACTTAAAACAGATCTACCATTCAACCCAGTAATCTCATTACTGAGTATATACCCAAAGCAAATACCCAAAGGCATATAAATCCTTCTAACATAAAGACACATGCACATGTATTTTCACTGCAACACTATTCACAATTGCAGAGAGATGGAATCAACCTAAATGTTCATCAGTGGTGGACTGAATAAAGAAAATGTGGTACATATACACCTTGAAATATTACACAGCCATCAATAAAAAGAATGAAATCACGTCTTTTGCAGTAACATGGATGGAGCTGGAGGCCATTATCCTAAGCAAATTAATGCAGGAACAGAAAACCAAATATTGCCTGTTCTCACTTGTAAGTGGAAGCTAAACATTGAGTACACATGGACACAAAGAAGTGAACAACAGACACTGGGGCCTACTGGAGGGTGGAAAGTGGGTGGAGAGTGAGGATCAGAAAACTACCTATCAGGTGCTATACTCATTACCTGGGTGATGAAATAATCTGTACACCACACCCTCAGAACATGAAATTTACCCATGTAACAAACCTGCACATGTATGCCTTAAACCTAAAATAATGTTGTAAAGAAAAAAAAGTAGCACTGTATTTAAAAAAAAAACAAAACTTCCATCTCTTTGGCCCACACTGCTATCTTCACTGGTCCCATTCTCATCTCTCAAGTTATCTTTTGTAGACAGATCTTCTTTATATTCAGTTACATTTACATGTGTAGATATATAAATATATAGCTCTATTTTTTAACTTTAATGGGATCATTCTATAATATGATTTAGCTACAAATTTAGTTTTTTGTTTGCTTTATCGCTTTTTTAAAAAACTGAATGTATCAGAGCTTTTCCTTTTTCAGTACATAGAGAGTAACACAGTCTTTTTAAACTGCTACCACGTATTCTTTAGTACGGTGGTAACATTGTGATTTAATCATTCTTACTGATGAATATTTAGACTGTTTCTCTTTTTTTGTATTACCAAGGAAAAATGTTGCAGTAAAAGCATTCTTGTACTAACATCTTGTGCCCATAACTTTTTTAGGATACAGATAACTGTAAGAGGAATTGCTAAGTCACACATTAGATGCATTTCTAAATTTGACAGGTTGTGCCAAATTATCCTCCCCAAAAGCTGTATCAATTTATTTCCCCACCTACAATGTTTTGAGATTTTTCTATTATTGAACTATGCCTGCATTCTTAGAAAAACCCTGATATCACATGGTTATTTTGTTGTTCTGTAGAATTTGTTAGTATTTTACTTGGGATTCTTGGAACCATATTCGTATCTGAGACTTTAGTAGATTTCTGCCACAAGTTGTGTTACCAAGATTATGCTACTTTAACAAAATTAAGTGAATCATGTCCATCTTTTCCTATGCTCTGGAACAGTCTAAACCACATGGCAATTATGTGCTCCATGACATTCTAATGGAATTAGCTTGTAAAATCTAGACGCATTTTGGGAGAGCTTTGACAACTTTTAAATTTTCTTCCAAGATCATGCGTATATTTATATTTTCTTCTTCTCTAATAAATTTTGTTTGTTCATGTTTTATTAGGAAATAATTCATTTTACCCAGATTTTACAACTTTAGCACAGAGTTCAACATAACCTACAAAATAAAACCTGCAAATCTTCCTTTTACTTGTCATTATATTCTGTTTTCATCCCAATTGTTTGTTTGTTCCTCTTATTTATCTTGACTAGCTTTGCAGATGTTTCTCTTTTTTTCTGGTGTTTTAAGGAACTCTCTCTTAATTTATCCAATTCATTGATTTTTCTCTCTTCTAACCATTAATTTCTGCCTTAGTCTCAATTTCTTCTTTCTATTTTCCTAGTCATATTCTCTTGGCTCTCTTTTTAACTTCTAGTTGAAAAATTTATTTCTATTCTTTTTTCTTGTTTAACTATAAAAGCCCTTAAAACCTTTAGCTGTTCTATGTGTACAGCCTTGGCCTTCTCATTTATATAATGCTCTTGTTTTCATTGTTTCTGTATCATCTGTAATCATAGTTTTGATTTCTCTTCAATCTAAAAGTTACCTAGGAGTGTGTTGGGTTTTTATTATTTTTAAAGTTTTGGCATTAATGCTCAGTTTCTCTGCATTGTGGTCCAAGATTGTGGCCTGCATGATTTCTTGTTCTTGGAACATATTAAAATTTTTCTTGTGGTTTTATAACTGATCACTCTTATTAAACATTTCATGGACCTGAGACAGAAGATAAATTCATTGCAGAGAACAAAGTGTGATATGTATCTGGAGTCGGGAAAATAGTTTGATACAAACTGATTCAAGAAAGTCAACTGAATTGCTGAACAGAATTTTTAACTCACAGCACACATAAAGGATTTTTTATTGAAAGGGCCAGGCTTTGTTGAGATTTCAGCAGAAGGCAAAGGAGAAAGACAAGGGGGAGGAAGAGGAGGCGGAGAGAAAGAAGAAAGGAAGGAAGTTAGTTTGCTTAGAATTCCAGAAACTAGGGTTTAAATATCAACAGCCAATCTTAAAGGACTAACCACAAAGATGTGTACTATGAACCACAGACTTGAGAGGACCCCAAAAGTTATGTAAAAGCAATTTTCATACTCAAAAAAAAAGCACATAAGGCAGAAAGAAGGCTTGGAGAAAGGTAAGAAATTTAGATGCAGGTGAGTTTTTCTGAATGCGGCTCTGGTCCTGTCCCCTCTTAATGTTGAAACCCTGAAGGGGGAAGGAAGGACTTCGTTTTGAGGGTCTGAAGAAAGCCCTGCCTCTCCCCTGGAGCCCTAAGAAGGAAGAAAACTCTCCAAGTGTCCTATGCCAACATAAAGTGACCAGCATGGAGTAGAAATAGTGGCAGGGCTAACCTAGACTGCAAGGACCTAGTGTTTATCAGACGGCAGCTGAGAGGGAGTGGAAGAGTTCATAAAGGCAAGGGGCACAGAGACCTGAATTGGAGGCCCAAGTCACAGACAGATCTCAAGGGATCTGCCAGAACTGAGATGAGGCCCAAAACTCCCAGAGACCCTTAGGCACAGGTCAAGCCAAGAAATAGATCAGCTGTGACCTTTGGCCACCAAGGAGAGAGGCCACTACCAAAGACCAAGCAGGACAAGGCTGTTTGGCAGAGGCCAGCCTTGTGTCACACAGCCCACAGACAAAATACCCATCCCTAAGGCCATGAGGTCATCTGAACCTTTTACATCCAAAAGAAACCCAGAGGAATAGGAGAAACGACCCTGAAAGATGCAAATTTTCCTCATATTTTTCATACCTTTGAAATGGGGCTGAGAGTTACAATGACCTCTTACAGTAGCGTTTAGTTGGCCAGTTTGTAGTGGTGATGTCTTAGCCATTGTCTATTTAACATGGAAGGTCAAAAGTACCAGCTTCAAAAGTTGCAAAATGAGCAGGTGTCAGCAACTTTGGATAAAATTCCAAAGCACTAAAGAAGCAGTCATTACCTTTAGGAATAAAACAGTTGTAGGGATGGGTGAGAGAAGCAATCAATAAAACATTCCCATACAAAAGTCAAAAACAGGTGTTGCAGATTGGGTTTCCCAGGAAGCAGACTCTTAAATGGATATAACTATGCCAGAGATTTTATTTTATTTTATTTTTAAAGTACATCATGCTTATATCTGTGTGAAATGGTAAAGGTCAAAACTGAGGTGCTGGCAGAAGGAAATGTGGCAGAAATGTGCCAGAACTGGGATGTTTCCCAGATATAAATGGCAACTTTCATCATGACAAAATTTATAATGTGAAACTAGTTAAAACCAAATTAGGTTTAGTTGCTCCTTTTGTCACTTATATATGTCAGAAACTATTTAGAAAGTTCAAACATATGAAATTGTTAACAAAACATCTTTTATGAATCCACAAAATAAGAATGTAGTAGAACAAGATAGGCTATTATGAACAGTGCCACAATAAACATACATGTGCATGTGTCTTAATAGCAGAATGATTTCCTCAAGGATCTAAAACCAGAAATACCATTTGATCCAGCAGTCCCATTACTGGGTATATATCCAAAGGATTAGAAATCATTCTACTATTAAGACACATGCACACATATGTTTATTGTAGCACTATTCACAATAGCAAAGACTTGGAACCAACCCAAATGCCCATCAATGATAGACTGGACAGAGAAAATGTGGTACATATACACCATGGAATACTATTGCCTGTTCACTCTGATGATAGTTTCTTTTGCTGTGCAGAAGCTCTTTAGTTTAATTACATCTCGTTTGTCAATTTTGGCTTTTGTTGCCATTGCTTTTGGTGTTTTAATCATGAAGTCTTTGCCCATGCCTATGTCCTGAATGGTATTGCTTAGGTTTTCTTCTAGGAATTTTACGGTTTTAGGTCTTACATTTAAGTCTTTAGTCCACCTTGAGTTAATTTTTGTATAAGGTTTAAGGAAGGGGTCCAGTTTCAGTTTTCTGCATATGGCTAGCCAGTTTTCCCAACACTACTTATTAAATAAGGAGTCTTTTCCCCATTGCTTGTTTTTGTCAGGTTTGTCAGAGATCAGATGGTTGTAGATGTGTGGCATTACTTCTGAGGCCGCTGTTCTGTTCCATTAGTCTATATCTCTGTTTTGGTACCAGTACCATGCTGCTTTGGTTACTGTAGGCTTGTAGTATAGTTTGAAGTTAGGTAGCATGATGCCTCCAGCTTTGTTCTTTTGCTTAAGGTTGTCTTGGCTATGTGGGCTCTTTCTTGGTTCCATATGAAATTTAATATAGTTTTTCTAATTCTGTGAAGAAAGTTGATGGTAGCTTGATGGGGATAGCATTGAATCTATAAATTACTTTGGGCAGTATGGCCATTTTCACAATATTGATTCTTCCTATTCATGAACATGGAATGCTTTTCCATTTGTTTGTGTCCTCAGTTATTTCCTTGAGCCATGGTTGGTAGTTCTCCTTGAAGAGGTTCTTCAAATCCCTTGTAAGTTGTATTCCTAGGTACTTTGTTTTCTTTGTAGCAATTGTGAATGGGAGTTCACTCATGATTTGGCTATTTGTCTATTATTGGTATATAGGAATGCCTGTGGTTTCTGCATACTGATTTTGTATCCTGAGACTTTGCTGAAGTTGCGTATCAACATAAGAAGATTTCTGGCTGAGATGACGGGGTTTTCTAAATATACAATCATGTCATCTGCAAACAGAGACATTTTGACTTCCTCTTTTCCTGTTTGAATACTCTGTATTTCCTTCTCTTGCCTCATTGCCCTATATGTCAGAGGTTTATCAGGGGATGCTCTTAGGTGAACTACTGATGGAAGGAAGCAGGATTAAACAGAAGAAAAAATTGAGTTGTGACACAGTCACAATAAAGGCTTCAGCCCAGCCCAAGGGGAGCTCTGAAACTGGTATGATCCCTTCCACTAGTTCCTATTTGGGACAAGGGACCAGGCCTTTATACCCATGTGCTGGCCAGTTTGGGGAAGGAAGCGCAACCTTGGATGAGGTGGCCCTCTTCAACTGAGCCAGTTTTCAAAGGGGACTAACAGGTAAGGGCTCTGTGCCAGCAGCACTCCCAGCATGAGAGGGAATGCGTGCTTCATTGCTGAAGGAGAATCTGGGTGGCACATGATAGCTCCCACCACAGAAGACTGACAGCACCTCACTGAAAATCCAGCTTAATAAGAACCCAGAACCAGTGGCTTTTAGGTTTTTTATGGATTTTTTAAAGAAATACTGAGTCACTAAAGCTTCTGATGGCAAGGAGGATAACATTATGTAGAAAAGACAACATGAATGACTCAGTGAAAAGGTTGTTATAGAACAATGGGACTCTGAATGTGGAGGAGTTTTAGAAATCCTTAATCAATTTATTTTGCTTATATTTCTCTGTCCATATGCGTGAGGGCTCTATATGAAAAAAAATTGTTTCTAATAATGTCTAAAGAGTTTTTCCAATAAATATAAAAATTATAAGTAATTTTTAAAAGCTCAAGAAATCTGAGATTTTCTTCCAAGCTCCTGATGCCTACCCTTTTCGCAAGGTTTGAGGCTTGATGTTCACACATGTACAGGCAATGACGACTACATCATGATGGCAACCACTTTATGACCACCACCCATCCTAATTCACATCACCATATTTAGGATCTTAAAATGTGAAAAAAATGTGTGTCTTATACATTAATGAAACACAGTACCTATATAGCAACCTATATAAAGTTGTACCTTAAAATTAATGACAACTTTAGATTTCTGTAAACCTTTTCATGAAGTATAAACTTGGTGCATACAGAAAAGTGCACCTATCATAAGCATGTGGATCAATAAACTTTCAAGACTCAACACCCATGTAATCAATACTCAGATCAAGAAACAGAAAATGAGCAGCACCTGGAATCCCATCATGCCCACTTTTAATCACACCATCCCAGAACCATTCTCCTGGTTCTGTGTAGGAAAAATACGTGGATAGTGAAGGGGTAGAAGCAGGAGTGGTCCTAAGTAGCATTAATCCCGGTAACCATTCTTACAGAGTCTTGCGTCAAGCTCCACCAGAACTTTCAATGCTCTATCAAGTGGCAGCTTCTGGGCCTTTTGTTAAGTGATATAACAAATGGATCTCATGATCATGGGCCCACTGCTGCAGCTCCTTCACTGTGAAGGAGCTGATCAGATACTACATGTTGTGGGATCCCATGCCTGTGGGTCAGTTTCTCCATAAGCTACTGGATAATGTGCTGGATGAGGCTCTGCAGGCATGAAAGGCAGACCCACACCCGAAATAGGTATCTACTGTTATGATAACCAATTGCCACTAAGTGATCAACTGGTCTCCCCAAAGAGCATTGCCATATTTGGGGCTCAGCATAGGTCTCTGGTACTGGCAGGTTAGACATTCAGAAGGGGCAAGAGCTATATCAGTCTTTTTAAGTGGTAGTCCATCTCTATCTCTGCTACCATGACCACGCTCTTTATGGATCCATTTGACAATCTATCATTCCGGTTCTGGGGAAACCAGCGATAAATGCTGCCTAATGTAAACTGGCTAAGCATGTTGTCTATTTGGATATCCAATGTCATTTCTGTGATAGATGCTTTATAATGGACATTAACATGTCATGCAAAAATCTTTACATTTTATGTCCATTTCCACAGGTCTGTTCACATGCCTCTACTCCAGATCTCATCTCCAAGTGTGCATTTTCTTTCTAGACCTCTAATCGGTCCATTAAATCATTGGCCATTTCCCATGAGTATACATATGTTCTTATCTTGGCCACTTGTCTTTCCATGCAAAGTAGATGACCAGATGCATTACTTGCAGCTCCACCCATCAACAAGATTTTTCTTCTCTACTTTTTTTAGAGCCTCCCCTGAGTGTGGTGGTGAATATAGTAGCTACTCATTTTCAGTCTGTATTTTTATACTGAGCCAACCTAAATATACCCCAACCTAAGCCTTTTTTCTTTTCCTTAGTGGTCCTATAGGATCCCATGTATGGCCACAGATGTGAGCTGAGGGAGGGATGCTGATGCAGTTGTGATGGGCGACAGGAGGACCCTTGCCCCCTGTGTATGCAGCTTCTCATGCCCTCTAGTCTTGCTTGGGCTCAGTTCCAATTGTACCTTTTCTATCTTACAATGAATTGCTACTTGGCTTACCCAGATTTATGACTTGGCAAATCTACGTTTTCTGCAGGAAACTTAATTCCATGCCACAATCAGAGTCCACAGGAGCTACTCAGTGGGAACCAGATTTTCTCTTTCTTTGCATCTATAATAATTAGAGCATTTTAAAAGATGTACCAGGGCTCCAAGCTCCCAGAAGAAGCAGAAACGATGGGGATAGAGGAAGTTTGGCTGTAAGGGATTTACGATGATGAGAACCTAGAGTTTGGGGAGCAACTTCCGTGGCAAGACAGGCTGGTTCCAAGCAGAAATAATACCTTTTCAGGAAGAGAGCTGGAGGCAGAGAAATTCCTAAAGGGAATGCTTGACTAAGTGGGAGCATTTATAAATAGTAAGGTGCATATTTGGGGCACTTATATGCTCAAGGACCCTTGAATATAACTTTTTTTACACCTTTTATTTACATCTTTTATTAAGTAGAGAAGGGAGATAAAGCACAACCCTAGTTGGAGACTGGCTGCCTGTATTTGATTATGTAATGGATTAAAGACAGTCATCAATTCTTTGCCCCGCCTTTCAATGAGAGGTAGAATCCCCTCCCCTTGAATATAGGCTGGCTCTGGTCCTGTTTTGACCAATCGAATATGGGAAAAGTGTTACTGTGCAAGTTCCATGGCTGAACCTTAGACCACCATGCTGTGAGGGAGACCAAGTCCCTGGAGAAAGCAAGGCCAGATGGAGGGACACAAGAACACAGAGGCACCAGACTCAGATCTGAGCCCAGCCACCAGCTGAATGCAGCCAAATAAATGATCCCAGATGACACAACCTGGAGCAGAAAGACCACCCAGCCAAGCCCTGAATTTGTGACCTACAGAGTTATAAGCCAATTAAATGGATTCTGAAGTCTTGACCCATGGAATTGCGGGCAAATTAAATGGTTGTTGTCTTAACCAAAGAAGTTTTGGGGTAATTTATTATGCAATAGATAACTACTGCAGGTTACTGTTGTGTTAGTGATAAAGAACCTTATGGAAACTAATCTCGATAATGACTCATAACCCCCTTAGATAAATTAAAAATAAAAGCATCAGCAGTCCGAGTGAGAAGCAGCAGAAAGGCAATTCAGAGATGATGACTCAGTTAATCTGTCTCTTTTTTAAAAAGGAGTTTTCTATTTGGTTTCCCAGAGCTCCCTGTTATAAAGGGGGCACTGGCTTTATTAATAGAGTGGCTCACATGAATAAGCCAATGTTTCTATATTCCTTCTCCTCAACTGCACCTCCCTCTCCCTGTCTCCACCACCAACAACAACAATCCCTTGCTTGAGAGTTATTCTATAAGTTTTGACACA